TCAAAACACTGGGTTAATATGGAGTGTCCACTTTCCTATGCAGATTTTAAGCAAGATTTTTAACAGGCAAACATGAGAAAATAGGCTGTACAAAAATAAATATCCTGTGAACATGCCATTATTGGATATATTGTATTACTTGAACAAAAGTTTGTCCTTTCAGAAATGAGATCCTCCTCCTGCTTGATTATGAAGGGTGTCACAGTCCTGTGCTTTTTAGCCAATCTGCTGTACTTTCAGTGTCGTCTTGAAACTTTTCACAGTGGTTAGTTGCTGATGTGCCAGTTCTGTTGCCTGTTATAATGACCATCACTATTTTGTTGTATTGCATATTCCTTCAATTGCATTTCTTTAGGGCATCATCCTTATGTTCTGTCATTATCGCATTGGCTAGCATAGAGGACTTTTGCTCTGTGAATGGGACTCTTAGCTGCTATGATAACATAAGTGACACATTGCATCATTTATTGCAAGAGGAATAATATAGTTGTCACAAATTGGGTATTATTATTTGAAGACTATTAATAGAGAATGAACTGTGAAAACATTTGTTTAAACACAAATGTATTTAATTACCAAAACTGGTGAGGAAACTAATACAGTGAAAACATACAGTAGAAATATAACCATAGAAGGCATTGCCTTAAATAAAACAAATCTGTGTTTCCATTAAGAAGGTCCTTTATTTTCTCAAAAATTCTTATAATTGCTAGAACTATACTTGCAATGCCAGTTTTGCCTGACTTTTCAAGAACTTTCCAATATGGGCATGCTCTGACCTGAGATCAACCAAGCCACTCTAAACATTTAGATATATGGTGAAATTCACAAGTGTAGCACAGTTGCAGTTGATGGGAATAATTATATGTATAAAAAACAAGCATGTGTATAAGTGTTTCTGGGTGTCGGCCTTGTATGACATGGTACTTAAAATACCAGTGGTACTTAAAATACCAGTGGAAATCTTGGACCTTGAGTGTTGCTATAGTTCAGGGGTGGGCAAAATGTGGCCCGGGGGCCGGATGCAGCCCGCCAGGCCATTCTATCTGGCCCACGGGGCCCCTAAAAAATTTAGAAAATTAATATTAATCTGTTCTGGGCTGCCTGTCATGCGGCCCTCGATGACTTGCCAAAACTCGGTAAGCTGCCCTCTGCCCAAAATAATTGCCCGCCCCTGCTATAGTTGCTACCACAGATTGAGAAAATTGAGGGTAACAATAGAGAATGTTGGCAAAATCTTCCTAATGTCTCTACAGATTAACTGTATGCCTCTAGTTTTTAACAGTTTACTTTATCAAGTACATAACATCACTTGGTTCACAATTAAAATGATAATGATTAAAAATGAGAAAAGTGAAGCACTATCTGTGTTCAGTTACAAGTTCTGTGTTAATCAGATATCTTCCATTTCTTAAAGATACCTGTACTCACTTGAAATTCCTTGCCATTTTAAAGGCGAAAAAAAGCAAAAAACTTTTCAAGTCCTCTCAGTAAATAAAATAAGTCTTGAATAGTGCAAAATAGTGCATGCTGTTTTTTCATGTTTGTATAGTAGAGATCATTTTAATGATTTTATTCTAAATCCTTTGG